AATTATAATATATATATATAATATATATATATATATATATATATATATATATATATATATATGATTTAGTTTTTTTAGATACTACTTTTTGCATTTAATTATATGTTTAAAGATTTATTTTTATGCATTAAATTAAAATTATAAATGATTTTTTATTTATAATTTAAATAATGTAAATCTAATATAATTTGCATTAAATTATTGCTTTTTATTTATTAAAAAAAATTAATTTATTCTAGAATTTTGATATAATTTTTTTCTGATCTTTATTATTTATTAATTTTTTAATGAATAATATTAATTTTTTTGTTTTAAGTAAATAAAATAATTATATTATTATTTGCGTTTTTATATTATTTATTATTATCTAATTTTTTTTTATATATTGATAAAAATTTTATAAATATCTAACAATTATTATTTTATTTATAATATTATTTTAAAATTACAAAAAATAAAAAAAATAAAACATTTTTAATAACATATATTATTATTATTTAAATTCCTATAAAAAAAAAAAAAAATTAAATAAAAAATGTTCGAATCTCATAGAGCTTAAAGGATTATTCCTGGATATACAGGGTATATATTAAATTAAATAAAAATATATTGAAACAAAAACAAAAAAGCCACATTCCTGCAGTTGAATATACAGAAGATATGCTTCAAATAAACTCATAAAAATCACAAATTCCCGGATATGCAGGCTATATCCCAAGTATAAAAAGTGAAAATATGTTTGGAAAAACTTATGGAAAAATAACTTATTAATCTATTACTAAATAAAGACATAAAGGATATGATTTACCTCCTTAATTAAGATATACTTCTACAGTTAAAGATGAATTTAGAGATTAAAAATATGTTAGAAAAGAAGAACTAGTTAGAGAAAATACAATTTATTAAGCAAAATTAGAATCAGTAATAATATATAAATAAAATAAAATAATTAGTTTTTTTTTAGAATGGATTTGCTTATTCACCTACTAGAGGCCATTATATTGATCCTAGTGAATATGTTGAAAAGCAATGTTTTTTTTTAATATATATATATATAAAATATTTAATGTATAATAAAATATTATTTAAATTAAACTATAACTTATGTTGTTTTGAATATTTTTTTTTTTTAATAGTATAACCAGAATAAAATTGCAATTTAACTTATGAAGAATTATGCAAAAAAGCATTTAAATGAATATTTTGTGAAGATAAATAAAGCAAATTTTAAAATATGGTTAAAAAGTTAAAAAAATATAAAAAATTAATATTTATATATCCTAAGTATATATATATTTTTTCAAATTGAATAATATTTCTTATTAATATAAAAGTTATTTTTTTAATTAAATTATTTTTATTTTTTATATTTTTTCATATATTTGATTTTATTATTGAATTTTATTAACACTATTTTTTTTCTGTATTGTAAGTATTTTAAGTTTTTTAATCATTAAATATTTTTTTTTTATATGATTTTCTATTTTTAGAATAATAATTATACGAATAATACATATCATCTTAATTTTTAATATTTATATCTTAACTTTAATAATTATTTTATTTTAATTTTAACATATTTGGAGGATTTTTATACTAATATTCATCTATTTACCAAGGTTTATTAAATTATTAACTTTTAAAGATATTATTTAAATGAGGTTCTTATATAAAAAAAATATTATATATTATGAACAATTATAATTTTTATTTTATTTTATTTCATATTATTTTATTTTATTTTTTTATATTATTTTATTTTATTTTATATTAATAACTTATAAAATAAAAACTACTATTTAATCCTGGAGCTTTTTTTTCAATCTATAACGAAATTTAATCTTCTAGATTGTTTAAATTCATATATTAATGTATTTTCATTTCATTTTATAATTGTTAATTTTTTTATACTAATCTTTCCAACTCTTATTATTATTAAATTTAATCTTTATCCTATATATAATTTTACATATTTTTATTACTATGAATATCTGGTTTTATATATGGATGTTTTAATAAATCATTTTTTATTTCTGGGGGGATTATATATTATTCAGAAGTAATTTCATTTATTATATTTAAACATTGCTATATTTTAGGCTAAATTTATTATTCATTAGATGTTACATTTTTTTAAGGTATATATTTTTTTCTATAATTTAAATCAATATCTTCATTATGTAAATTTATCCATTACTTATATGTTAATAATCGCTAATTATTGCTATTTTTTTAATCTTAGAATTATTAAAAAACTTAATTATTTAATTTTTCTTTTGTATTATTATAATTATTTTTCTAATTTTATTATTCTTCAAACTATTAATTACCCATTTATATAATCTTTAATAAATTATTAATTTTTATTAATGTTTTAATTATAAACAAATATATAAATAAAATTTATATTTTAATAAATAATTTTTATTAAAAATTAATATTTATATATATATAAAAATATTAAATATTTATTATATTTTATTGAAAAAAATTAAATATTTTTTTATAATATATTTAAAAATAAATATTTACCATAAACAGAAAAAAAATAAAATAAATAGATATATAAATAAAAATATCATTTATAAAATAATTTTTAATCATTTATTTTATAAATAAATTAAAATTACATTATTTATTCATTTAATACCATAAATTTTTTAATTTTTATTTTTTTAATATAAAATTATATTTTTTTCTCTTATTATAATAAAAATGGATACTTTTGCTAAATTTAATTATTAATATTTTAAAAATCGAAAAATTATAAAAAACAAAGACTTAATGAGTGATATATTAAAATAAAAAATATAAAAAACATTTTAAAATTAATTTTTAAAAAAAAATATTATATAGAGGCTCAAAAATATATATAAAAAACACATATAAATTAAAATTACTATTTAATCAAATTTAATTAAATATATCCAAAAATAAAATAATTTATAAACATACAAATTAATTATATTTTTATTTATAAAAAAAAAAAAAAAAAATTGTAAATTAAAAAAAAAAAAATTAATAATGTTAACCTAAGAAAAAAACGAAAATAATTAATTACCTATAATACCCAATCCCTAACTTATTTAATTATTATTATTATAATTATCATTAAATTAAAATCAGATGGAATTATAATAACCATTACAATAATTGCTAAACTAAGTCTTTATTTAGCAATAATAATAATAATAATAATAATATCCATAAATTTCTTAAGAATAAATATAATAAGTAAATCTTTATTTCTTGAATTAACTTTTATAATTAAATTTATTATAACCTATTATAGAATAAAACGATTTACAATTATAATAAAACAAGGTCGAAAGATAGCTTAAGATATAAAAATATAAATAAAAATAAAGGGTTTGGACTAGAAAAATATCTTACGATTGTAGAAAAAGAGTCGCTGATTAAAGAGTGAGAATAAAAGGAAGATTTATATCTAAAAAAGAATGTGAAAAATTACTAAAAACTAAATAAAATGATGAGTCAACTCATGCTAATTCTGATGGAAGTACTTAATTTTTAAAAGAACATAATAATAAAGATCTAATTCATAGCAAAGAGACTATGTAAAAAATAAGATTCTCAATAGAAAATAAACAGCCCATATTTTATTCAAGAAAAGTTAATTAAATTTAAAAATAAAATTGAGAATTTTAATATTCTTTATTTTAAAAATGATATATAATGAAATTATTTATATTTTTTCAAAAAATATTTTTTTTATTAAATAAAAGAAAAATTAAAGGATATTATTAATATAAATAAATTTTAAATATAATTATTGTAATAATAAAAAATTATTACAAAATTATATTTTTGTTTTAATTTTTTGTGTATTTTTATTTAATTTTTATAATTTTTTACACACTTTTTATTTTTAATCTTTTACAAAATACATTTTTTTTTTTTTTAACTTAAATTTTTTTT